AATGGTAAACAACAAAAAAAAAAAAAAAAAACACATCTTAGTAAAACCAATACCTTCTCAGCTTCGCATCGAAGCTAATAGAACGTTAAATATGTGATAGTAATAAATATGTGTAGTATTTTAAATATTAAAGGTATCCTCCTATTATTTACATATATAATAATATATACAATGGCAGATATATGCTAAAATAAATAAAATATAAAAGTATTCTGAATGAAATATGGTATTCTCTGAAAATCTAAGTGTTATTCGAGTTATACATTTATGACGTGGTCTTATAAAGTTGGTTTTAATTTCGAACTTTAAAAATAGTGAAGACGTTCTTACTTTGCTTAAATAATTTTTATATAAATTAGTAGTTTTTTTTTCAGTAAAATCGTCTTACTAAATTTAAAACTCAAAGAAAAAAAAATTGTAATTTTGACAAAATGAACACTATTATTAAAGTAGAAGCATGGCATAATTATCTAATTGTATTAAAAATAAAACAAATCATTATTAATTAAAACGAATTTAATGAAATAAATATAAATATTATAATAAAATTGTATTGTATATAACAAAATAAGTATTAATATGCATAAGTAATAATTGCATATATGTTATGTTTTAAACCGTATACATTACGTGATAAAATCATATATTTAAATTTCAAGTCAAAATATTGTTGTATCTAATTTTTTAATATATACAGCTAAAACTATGCAAATTCATTATATTTTAAGTATTAGATATAATAGTATTTTATGAAATTTAAATGCAACATTACAATCATAATTAAAGTTTCACTTACTGGCTATATTTATATATCTATTTAAAAGTTCTTTAAAATATTTATAGTTTATACCTTCCATTTTTGTTTTTTTTATTCCAAATACACCTATTAAATACTCCCTGTGTATTATTCGATTAACATTTCTAAAATTAATTATCTGACATTAGAAGTAATATAATATGACTTTAAATGTTTAGATTTAATAGATTTAGTAATGTAATTTATTATAGTTTATACCTTCATACGTTTTATTGTTATTAAAATACATTATCATTATACCTCTGCTTTCAGAATTTAAATTTCCGTTCAAAAATTAATTAATATTATGAAGTAATAATAATATGACTTTTTAAATTTAAATGTTTAATTTTTAGATATAACTATAAAGACCAATTCAGTGGGGTTGTGTTACAGTACTGATATTGTATAATTGAGACAAGTATAGATGATATCTGAGAGCGATTAAAATCATTATCAAGAAATAAATTTCGATGAAAATCTGTTGATAATATTTAATTTTTAAAAGGAATTGTTCTCCGAAAGACAATAAATACTATTTCCTTTAGCATATCCTGATTAAAAGTTTTATGATTTAAAAGTAAATTGCACGAATAAATACTTTTTATATTAATTAAATCTAGTGTGATAATGATATTGAATAATTTAATATTGTAATTTTTATGGAGAAAATAAAAAAAAAATCAATAATTCTGATTCTCTCTAGTTAATTATTTTTTAATTATGATATTAAAATTGTAACTATTATAAGCCATTGAGAGCGAATTTTTTTTTTTTTTTTTTTATGTATTGCACTTTCTTTTAACATACATATTAAAAAAATTATTTTTATTATATAATATTAAACAGTTTTATATATGTCGGTGTTTTTTCTTATTTTACATCATAAACAAATATTTCAATCTTTATTATTAAAAAAATTTAAATTGATGTTATTACTTATTGAACACTTTGTATAATAAAAATTAAAAGTTTCAAGAGAACTTATTTTCTCATTATTATAAAATCGTTTAATTAAAGCAGTAATAAACCGAAGTAGATGAGTTTAGATAATTACAAATATTATTCCGAAGATGATTGACTATTCTTAAATTGTCTAAAATTCTCATTCGATTATTATAATGACAGTCATTTTTTTTCTTCAATGGCTTTTTCTTTTTAATAAATTATATAAAGTTTTTATTAAGAAAAGAATACCTTTTTTGGCTCTTTTTGGAACTACATTTATTATTTATTATTTATAAAACTTCAACAGTTTATGTTATTAACATTTATATATTTTAACAGATAAGTTTAATCATAGAGAAAAAGGACAAATTTTTGTTTGATTCATTTTATTCAATAATATTAATGTTTATAAATTACTTTTATTTTCATATTTTTTAGAAACTCTCAACAAGTATATGATTCTGAATTCTGAAAAAATAATCATAATAAATTGATATAAAGTAATTAGATGCCAGTTTTTTATTAAATACACAGAATAATTCAACTTGATGAATTAATATAATAACATTTTATCAGCTATATTTGTATAATTGTTATAAGTAAATATATGATCAACAAAAATAATAAAACTAACTATCGTCCATTTTTATGTTTTTGAAAATTTAAAAAATATTTTGACCATATGCTTTACTTTTCTGGATAACAAGTCTAAAATTATTTTATTAATATATACATGATATATTAGATGGATATATATTTTTTGAAAGTTACTTAAATAAAATTTAAGTAATTTTAATTTATTTTATTTCAAGTATAATTCGAATTCTTATTACAAATTAATGGACTAAATATCAAATCGTAAAAGTGAAATTTAATGATACCTATGGGAATCAATTGCAAATAGTTTCATTTGGTTGGCTATAAATAAATTCATTAACTGGAATAGCTATTAACCATCATGGCGACGGATTAACCATTGATCGTGGAGTTAAGAAAACTCTTTGAAAGATATTACATTGGCCTTAAATGGGTTGTATAAATCAAAAAAAATTATACGTAATAATTATTTTACCTTTCAAGCTGATATCTTGTGTGTCTTTAATTGTAAAATTAGTCTTTATTTCATTACTATCTTCATATGTAAAGGGGAGATTTAATTTTTGAAAAGCATCACACAATTCGATTAGAGTCATCTTTCCTTCATCATTGAGAAAACTTTCATAATGCGATTTAATTTGAGACTCATTTAGTTTGACACACTTCATAATTTGTTTCAAAAATTGACCCAAATTCATTAATCGTTTTTCTTAAGGAATAAAAATCATGTGTTATGAATTAACTTTTGATTAAGAGAAAAATATTTATACCAATAATAATCACCAAATGACACTTGATTATAACTTAATATAATTAAAATATATATAATATAAATAATAATTTATAACAGATATAATTTTTAATCTATTGAAGTTCTAAAAAATCTGGTTAAAACTTATATTGATAATAATATTTATATTAAATATAATGTAAAAGATGTAATAGTTTGATGCAAATATATTATTTCAAATTTCCGCGAAGATACAAACAAATCACACCTTTGGTCATCAAATATTCGTATTGAAATATTTTTAGAATTTTTTTTTTATCAGTCATAACCTGTGGCAGCATAGTCCATTGGTTAAATTAAAATTAAGGTATTTTAGAATCTAGTACTAATATTCAAACAAATAGATTACAAACAGCTTATACAGATTGCTTACGTACAGATTATATTATATATGCAATAGAATACATATAGATGAATACAAAAAGATTTTTATTTTTTAGATTTATTTTTATCAATTAGTGTGTGGCTTCTAATGTTGTAATTTCTAGTCCAATAGATTCCGAAATATTTTTAGATAATCTTGCTTGTTACCTGCTTGCATATAAACTTAGACATAATTAATAGAATTATTGACTTCCCAAAACACTCTATTTTTTTTTATTCAAACTAATTATATGTTGCTCTTTTTGGGATGTCTTGACGCGTCACGAGTAAAAATAAATGTTTTTCATATTATCCCGAACGTACCCAGTTTATCTAGAGTTATCCGGAATGACTAGATGTTGTACACTGGATTACATTCAACATATTTTATACATTTATTTTCAAAATACAGAACATTGTTTAAAACATATAAATAAAATCAACTTGAAATATTATGTATTGTGTAAAAACATGTGTACTTGTCAACCAATTAACACTTGCTAATCGTGTTATAACACTAATTGGTTCGCATTTAAGTTATAAAGTGGTGTATTTACGGGGTCCATGTGGTCTGTACCCCGTATGTGATTTGTTATTAATATTGTTATTAAACACAATTGAACATATCGTTTAATTAATAAAATAAACTTACTCAAAATACTAAAAAAGAAAGAACAAAACAAAATAGACCTAGGATATTAAATTAACATACAGAAAAATATTATATAACGAAGCCAGTTGGTCAGAGAGGACTGAGTTAAAATTTGGAAGGTGAAAATTTTTATTTGGAACTAACTAAGTGTCTGAGAGTAGAACAATTTGGCATTTATTTTGGCGGATAAGAAATGCAAGGTCTTGTGCTCTAGATAAGATACTTCTAATATTTCATTGAAAAATATTTAACATTTAGTTATTGTAGTATTTATTATTGTAAAGTAAAAGGAGAAAAGGAAAGGGAATAAGTAAATAAATGACAGATACATATAAACCTTATGTTCATGTAAAATGATACATATATATAGGATATAAATAAGCAAATAAAAATATACACAGACAAGCGAGTAGACAAATATACGTAGATAAACACACATGCGTGTATATAGTACACAAATACGCACTTAGTCAAATGTATGTACATGAAAAGTCATAAGGACATAAGTGAAAAAAATATATATATATATAATAATAATGATGATAAAAGATGATGAGACAAAGTAGTTACTGCAAACTGTCATTAGAAGATAAAGAGAGAAAGTTAAATATGTGAGACACAATTAATTGATTAATGGTTGGGGGGAACGATAAAGTAGAGGAAGGAGTATTGTATACAGCTAAAGAGAGAGATTAGCCAAAGAAGTGATCCAAGATTCCTCAGCAGGTTGAGCATAGGAGTTAGTGGACATGTATTCGAGAAACAAGCCATTAGGGGAAGACAAATTATTACTTTTATTAGAGACAAAATGCAGGTTGATAGTTTGGGAACTCTTTTTATTACAATGATACTTATTTTTATTTTTTTAGGAGAATGATTGTGTCAAGCTCGGAAAAGATTCTATAGATATAGGAGCGCTGGCGTTATTTATAATATTTGCATTGTTTAAGACACTATTCGAGAAAGTTTTAGATTTATTAACAATATTATTCTTAAATATAAAAATGGTATCGTTGTACGAAATGTTTTCAACAGCCGTGATATTTTTAATCTCCTTTGATGGGACCATTCGCTGAAGCCGAACTTAATTAGAGTATTACTTACGATCTTTAACTTCATCCAAGAAAATTTGTTTAATTTCACTCTCTGTTATAGGATTTATCCATGTTAAAAAATTCGTAAATAGTTTAAATGTATTATAATCTATGCCTTCATTATTTTTTTTAAATAATTTAAACAAATCTGTCCAAATGGAATTGCTTTCGTCATTAAATTTTTCGTACTAAAATAAATTATAGGGCATTAGAATATTATTTACAATAAATACTTTTTAGAAACGACATATTTATTTAGTATAGATGCAAAATTACCTATTATTTGATATATTTTTTTTTATAAATTTGACCTTTATCTGCCCACAGAGGAGGATTTTAAATAACAACTTTTAAAAGTGTTCTGGAAATACTGACACTTTTATATATACCTTAAAATAAAGCTTCTGTAATATACTTTATTATGAAAAAAAAAATTTTCGAACTTTATTTTGTCTTCACGGTGAAAATGGCTACTGTATGTTAATTTTGCGTTACAATTCTCGATTTTATATTTTACATTTTTAACTTTAAAATGCTATAACTTTTTAAAATATGTATGGATTGTAATAAACCAAAAAGAAAAAAGATTAAAAAAAAAAAAGTTGTTTATTAGAATTTTGTTGGAATGTAAAATAATAAAATATAATAAATGGAAGGTATAATAAAATATTATAAGATGATAGGTAGGTTTATAGGGATTAATAATGGAGGATAAGAAAAAAAATGGTGGTGATGTGGATTTTACTATTGAATGTATAAATGCTTATATTGTATCAAAAGAAAATCTAAGGGTTGGTTCTTAGTCAGACCAAAGATATAATATAGCGTATGTATGGCCGAATAATAATAAAATTATTAAATAAGATGGTGAATGGCGGATTAACACATGTTTAAATGTGGCAAGATATGTAAGGGTGCAAAGAATATAATAATATGAATAAAAAATGATTCAGAGGGGTGAATAAACGGAGTTTAAATACATGAGGGTAATGATCAAATAAATAAAAATGCACAAAAGCGTTGTGACAAAAATAATGAACTGATCTCGGGGTTGAACAATATTGAATAAATGAAGTCAATTATCCTACCAAACTTTATTACCTATCTTAATGGTTTATTACGCAATATAGTATTTATAATTTGAAAGCGGGAATTTAAATTTGTACTTACCTTGTATCCCACGTAGTGTAACGTTTATTTTTGACAATCCAATGTTGATTATGAGTTTATACTGTATTTCACACGTTGTACACTTTGATTTCGACAGTAAATATGACCGTTTGAGAATAAAGCGTTTAATTATAAATAATACGAAACCGTTACACAAAATCTATGACTGTATTATTGTATGCAAGAGATTCTATACACTCTATATTTTTATAATTATAATCAAATAATGTATCTTTAGTTGACTTAGTAGAATGAGTATATTGTTTGAGAGATTATATTTTATTGAGAGATCGACACCAATATTTCTTAAATTTTCCTCTGGCCTGGCCAAAACAAGATTCAGAAATATTTATATCTATGTAAAAGATTTGTCAGGGCGGAATTGTGGTGGCCCAATGTGTCCCGGTGCTAAAATAAAGCACCTTGAAAGGATGCGGCACAATAATCACCAAGACAAAAATTAAACACTAAAAACATATATTTGTAAGTTTCTCTGTGCTGTCTGCCGGCGCGATGTTTGTTAAGACAAAGACATTAAACCACAGAAGATTAGCTACCCAATACACATAGGCTTACAAATATATTCTAACCTAACACCTAACTTTAAAAATATTTAATTGCAACCTTTACTCTGTCTGCCGGCGCGATGTTCGTTAGAACAAAGACATTAAACCACAGAAGATTAGCTACCCAGTAAGTATAGAGTTGCAATACACTTAGTCATATAATCAATATTTATCATTAACTGAGAAAATTAGAGTTGATTCGGTTTTATTATAAAAAAAAAATTTTTTATTTTAAAATATTAATTGACATTTATTTCCATGGTAAAATAAAAATAAAATATCATTATATAATGAACAAATTAAATTAAATTAAAAGATTCACCAAAACAAAATTCACTTTAAAATTTCTAAGTGTCATTTAGTTTTAAAGAAAAATATTCTAAGTCCAAATAAATTAAAAAATAAACTAAGTCCCAGAGAGTAGAATCTTGAGTAGAGTGTCGCAGATTTTGTGTAATTTAAAATAGCCGAAAGAACTGATTTTAATAGGAAAAAATGGGTTTTTATAGTAGACGAGGGTCGTGTAGCGATCCCTAGTGTGATCTTAGAAACTGTAGATCTCAATTAATAGTTGAATGTGATTGGCTGGACTTAGTTGAGAACCCTCACATGGGCGTGACTTTGAATCTGTACGATAATCAGATTTAATTGACTACTTTATTGATTATTTTAAGTCTTAGATAAGGGAACCCTGTTTTGGTGATCTTGTGAATTCATAATATATGACATACATGTACATAATATAACATAATATAATATTTTAATATTATAAGTTATAATATAATATTACAGGATTAATACAAGTTTTTTATGAGAAAAAATATTTATAAATTTCTTTCATTCGACATACTTTTTTTTAAAATCTATTTCCATTAATACAGGGGGGTTCAAAACATAAAAATGCATGTAGAATGTAGAACTTTTTCAACTTACTGTGAAAGTGTTCCGGAAGGTCTGACACTTTTATATATATATTAAATTAAACCTTATGTAATATAATTTATGATTGAAAAAAAAATTCGGACTTTATTTTGTTTTCATTTTGAAAAAATTAATAAAAAAAATACGATTTTTGTAAAAAAATTTTTTTAACTTTATAATGCTATAACTTTTTGAAAAATGTATGGATCATTATAATTTTCTTAAGATAAGTACTATTCTTATACTTCTTTTATGCGACATACTTTTTTTTTAAATCGGACCATTACCCTTTTTATATTTATATATATATATATATATATATATATCATATATTACACTTATAAATCAGAAAACTTAATCATAATATAAATAAGGAAATAGTAGATCATGTAGCTTTTAGAATAATTCACCAATTTTTTAAAATTAAACACTATTTACACATTTGCATCAAAGGGTTTTTTATGATAGTAATTTTAATCACTGTCAGATATCATCTATACTGGACCCAACTATGACACGACCCCACTGTTTAGGGTTTTTTTAGCTTCGATGCGTTTTTATATGAAATTTGTTTCATTTTTGTTGAAAAATTTTTTTTAAACCCGCTGCTTTATTATTATTAATTTAATATGATAACCATTGTTTAAAATTATAAGGTAGATTTTAATTATTACATTATTAACTATTTTCATAAATTTTTGATGCTCGATCTATCTTTCCACAGAACGGATTTTCTAATAAGAAAACATTCAACTATTAACTTTTATGAATAATTAAATAATATCACTTTACCTCGTTTAAAGTATTAGAAGAGGAAATAAGTCCATTTGAAATACTAATGGCTGTATACATAACAATGAAAATGAAGAAATGCATTTTTGGTTTGACAACTCGGTGTTTTCAAATAAGACTGAGAAGTAAAAAGGTTGATATGATAGATTTAGTTGAAATTATATTTATTTTATAACAATACTTTGTATTTTTATTTAAAAGAAGCCATTTTTTTTATTTTTAAAATAGAAAAAAAACGTATAATAAACTTAATTTTATTTTTAATATTCAATATTATTTATTTAAAACTAAGTAAACGTTTTACTTGTTGACTATAGTTACAGAACTCAAGTCTTCTTATAACTATTTCATTGTCATTATTTCGCAAAAAATACTAGTAAAAACTTGTTTTCTTTTATTTCAGTCAACAATGAATAATTAAATTGAAGTCTATAAATTAATAGGCCTTGACGTTTTGCATACGGATTTTTTAAAATTTCTACTACATTTAACAATAAATAGTTATAATAAATTTTCTATACAACTAAAAAAATAAGAAAATCATTAATTATATTAGCTATTAATGTACGACGTCACATGTTTTTTCACTTTTAATCTTATTTACCTCAATGATTTATTATTAGTATCGTGGTTTATAATACAACTCAGGAAATGAGATTACTGTCGTCATTCAAAGTATTGGAAACATTTTTCGACGCTTCAATAAATTATAAAAATTGATCACTTGTAACTATATTATTTAGAATTAAAACTATATTAAAAATATTAAACTCAAAAGACCTCAAAAAAAATTACTAAAAAGTCACGGATATGTAATTTGTGGAGATGTCAAAACTTAACACAACTACTGTTGACACCAAAAACGTTGGAATCATTTTTTGATACTTTAATTATATAAAAAAAATTGATTTCTTCTTTTATGGCAGTTCTTAATAATGAAATATTGTTTTCCGCTTTGTAGTTAATAAATGATAAATATCGGATAAATTAAAACATGTACTAAATGATTACAACGCATTTAAAATTCTAGTTTAAATACATTATATCAATTAGTTTCATTAATTAGTTTCAGTTAATTTTTATATACTAATGATCTAATAGTTCGGCTTAAACTTTTAAGCAAATACTCTCCTATTTACTTGATTTTACTTATAAATTATCTATAACCCATTAGATATCAATAATTTTAATTGTACTTATGTATTATATATTGAATTACCTTATTTATAAAATTATAAACAATTTATTATATTTTACAGTTTTTCGTGTTATTATTCAATTATTTTTATGTAATTTTTTAAAATTGTGTATTTATAATATGATACTTTAATTCTAAAATATGTTATTCAAAATAAACACAGATATCATATTTTTCTGTAGTTCAAATGATAGAATTTATGTAAAATAAAAATATTATAAGAGGGTTTTCCAAAACAATACTCTTGAACGGATGTTTGGTCCGTTTCCAGAAAAAGAGTTGAAATAATGTATTTTTTACATGATAACTTAGCTTTCATAAAATATTGACTACTAGGACGCACTTTCTACCCGCCCTTCAATACCATCACCACAATGACTAGAGTTCAAAAATAATACAAATTGCTAATATTTTTTAGTTTTATTAGATGATATAATTTAATGGGCACATATTGTTTAGTATTTGAAGAAAAAAATATTTCGAATCACAAATGAAAATGATATTTAAAATTTTAAATTAAAACACATTTTTGACTTTTTTTATTTTTCCTTTAAATAGTCTGGTAAAATAATATCTTGTTTTATGATGTATTCTTTAAATATTTTAGACTATCAAATAATTTAGAAAACATTTATAGTGTAATAATTTGTATTAAAATTCTAAATATATTTGTAGTTAAATTATTCCTCTTATTTCTTTTAATGTCTCTTCAATTGGTATGGTATAGATTTGGTTATACGTTATTAACACAAATGTTTTTCTAAATTCTAAAAAATATACAAATATATCATTAATTAATTAAAAGTAACAAGAAGACATTTTTTTTTTTTAATACACGGAATAATTTAATCTGATTAATTAATAAAATTATTTTTTATTAACTATACTTTTTTCGATAATCGCTATAAGTTAAAACAATTATCGGTAATATTATAAAAATAAGTGTATATATCAGCTATTATATTATTGAAAATTTTAAAAATATTTTGACCATTTATTTTAAGTTATTTAATTAAAAATTTTATTTAGTGAAAATTTATTTTATACCAAGTAAAATTAGTAATCCTTATTACATATAATGAGAAAAAAGATCAAGTTGTAAAAGTGAAATTTAATGACACTGGATAGATAGCTTATAGGAATCAATTGCAAATAGATTCAATTGGTTAGCTATAAATAAATTCAGTAACTGGAATTGCTGTTCACCATCCTGGTGACTAATTAACCATTGATTATGAAATTTAGAAAACTTTTTGAAAGAGATCACATTGGCCTTAGTTGGTTGTAAAAATTAAAAAAAATTTGCATAGTAATTATTTTACCTTCCATGCTGATATCTTGTTCGTTTTTAAATGTATAATCGGTTATTAAAGTAGTAACAACTTCTTCTGTGAGACCGAGTTTTTCTACTACAAGAGCTTTTTTTAATTCATTTAATGTCATCTTATTTTCTTCATTGAGAGAATTATTATAACGCAACGTATACTGAGACTCAATTATTTTGATACACTCCGTCGTTAGTTTCAAAAATTTATATACAGTCAGTGATCTATTTTCTTAATAAAGTAAAAATGATGTGTTATCAATTCTGTTTTATTTTAAATTAAAATTCTTATACCAGTATTAATTTCAATAATAATAATCACTGGTCGACATTTAATATCACTATATATATTATTTATTACAGTATTATAAAAAATAATTTATACCAGATACAGATTTTTATAGAATCTAAAAAATTTAAAAATGATATTCAAAAATAACCCAAATATGCCAGTTCTTAGTTTCCCTAGGTAACTGCAAGTTGGTGCACTGGCTTAGACCCAAAATATATAAATATATTTTTAATATATATAATTATTTATTGATATTCTGTATAATTTATTTTAATATATTATATTAATTTTTTTTTTCAAAATATGAATGTTTAACTAAATTAAAATACATAAATAATATCAGCTTGAAATATTGAATGTTATATGAAAACGTGTGTACATGTCACAGATTAGTAGATAGTGAAACTCCCCAATACTTTTTGTTCTAAAAGCTATCTTCACCTCTATACGAAATTTCAAAATAATAAAAAATAAGGTTCATAAATGATGTCCAAATATTTAACTTGATTATAACAGTATAGGACGAATAGTCTTCAACTATCATATTTTTTCTACAAAGGTATTATTTTTACTATTTGATTTGATTTTTAATCTTGTAACCATTCCAATGATGTTTAAACGTAGTTACATGAAATCTAAGTCTGATATATACTTATTCAGTTGTATCGTAAATCCTTTAATTTTATTGGTTGGTAGCTTACGAAATTTTAAAATAACCATCTAATATTAATCAGTCTTAATTATAAAAGTAGCCGTGTTTATTTTTATTTTTCTCGCATATATTGATGTAAATTATTAGTAGTTTTTTCAGTAATAAACGTCGGACGTATAATTTAAAATTATATCCCACCTTCAAACAAAAATCGTAATTGTGTCACAAATAAACACCATAATTAAATTTGAAGCATGCCCTCTAGAATCAGGTGTGTTTTCAGTCGTGTGTGCGTTTACAATAGAACTTATTTATATTTTTTAGATTTCATTAAAAATAAAACTAATTTTATGAAAAAAAAAAAATAAATTGTGATACTTGTAATAAAATATTTATTTCAATTTAATTCTCAAATCGAAATGTTGTTGTACTTATTTAAAAAAAAATATACCAATACATTAAATTTAGAGCGATTTAAATAGTATTTGTTGAAAATAAAAGTGATATTTATAATTATAATAAGAGTTTTTCTTACTGCTATTGACTTCATCCGTGAATAATTTTTCGATATCACTATCTTTCATACCATGTAGCCATTGAAAACTTTTTAATAATCGTGTAAATACTCTATAGGTTACACATTCAAGTTGTTCATTTACTTCAAAAAAATTTTTCATTATATTCTCACTTTCGTCATTCAAACTTCCGTCCTAAAATTAATTATAGGAAGAAATAATAATATAACTTAATAAATTAAAAAAAATATCTATAAAGACCCAGCACAGTGGGATTGTGACACAATACTGACATAGTATAATTGGAACAAGTATAAATGATATGTGAAAGTGATTAAAATCATTTGAAATTTTTACGGAGAAAATATATGAAAAAAGTGACATTAAAGTTCAATTCTTCTAACTCTCGTTAGAAATTATTACTTCGTTCAATTATTACTTCAGTTATGAATTTTAAATTGTAATTTATCATAAACTTTAATGGCTAGAATATTTTTTTTGGAAAGGAGCCGTTTTATCTTTTTATATCCATTTGGAAAGGGCAATACGCTAAATAATGATTTTTATACAAAACAACATTTTTTTAACTTTCTTGTATGTTCACAAATAGAAAACAAATCATCAGTAAACATTTTTTTTTTACTTTATTCTCATGAGATTTTCATGAGTTGAAATAGTTTTCATACAAAATTTTATTTTAAAATGATTAGTAAATAATAAATTACTGCATTTGTAATATTATTAAATATTTTTAAGAAATTTTACTCTCAAATAAAAATGTAGCAATTTTTTTATACATAAAGTAAATTTGAATTCAAATTGATGAATTGTATAGCAAAGTGATTTATGTACTAAAAATTTTTTTTCGGAAAATCTTTTATCTAAAATGAGTACAAATAAATATAGTCTAGATCTGAATAAAGATCTAGATATTCCTAAAAATGACAACTAATTTTTATCAAAAATTAAATAATATTGTTTTATCTCTTTGAATGGAGTAAAAAGATTCTTAATTTACCATAAAAATATATGGCGTCAGTAGGGTAATTTAGGGGATTCTAGCCCCCCGCCTCACCCATTCACCTACCCACCCACCGGTGGGTGGGCGCGGTCGGGGGGAGGGGCGTGTCACACAGTGGGCGTGGTCTCTCGATGGTGGGGGTAATGTCAAGGTCATATAGTGGGCGTGGTCTCTCGATGGTGGGGGTAATGTCAAGGTCACACAGTGGTCGTGGTCTTTCGATGGTGGTGGAAAGGAAGGACTGGATTTATGAGGGTTAAGGGGTAAGGGAGGCGTGGTCTTATGATGGTGGGGGAAAGGAGAAGGTGTGGTCTTATCACAGATGGGATAAGGGGAGGTTTGGTCCTATGATGGTGGTGGTAAGGAGGAGGCGTGATACCACGATGGTGGAGGTAATAGATGACTTAGGTAGGGATGTTAAGATCAATCAAAATGGCGGTTAAAAGTGTGCATGCGCATTACAATTTCATGTCAGTGGTGGGGTAGGTAGCCATATGGTTGTCTCCTCCTACGATGTCATCTACTGGAGGGTAAGGTAAACCTCATGTGAACTGATAAACGTACGTGTAAACATACACATTACATTGAAATAATGTACGTCAAATAATGTCCGCCGTTGCCACTTTAACATATTTACTTAATATTAACACTACGACTCTGTCAACAATTCCTATACAGGAAAGGGATAATGAAACATAACATAAACGAACCTATAATGTGTGGTGATGAATCCAACTATATTATTATTACTACTATATTATAATGCTCATAGACGTCAGCATTTTATGAGAACAATGACAATGTTTGTCGTTATGGCATAATTTCTAAGAATTTTATCATTGCCTACCAGACGCTTAGATAAGCATACTTCCAACGTCAAAGGTACCGCCATATTATAACCCACATTACCGTCTACATTTAATAAAAACAAAGACAACGTCTGTTGTTATGGCATAATAAATTCTAAGAATTTTATCATCGTCTACCAGACGCTTAGGTCAGCAAATTTCAAATATCAAAGAAGTCACCGCACAGTAATGTCGTATGAATCTTATCATGGGTAACCAGACGCTTAGGTCAGCATATTTCCAACATCAAAGGTACCGCAATATTATAACCCATATTACCGTCAACATTTTATAATTGCTGTCTGCGTTTTATCAAAGTTATCTTTATCTAAGAAATTTATCATGGGTAACCAGACGCTTAGCTAAGCATATTTCCAACATCAAAGGTACCGCTATATTATAACGTTCATAGGCGTCTGCATTTTTATTTTTTACATAGTATTTTATCATTGCCTACCACCAGATGCTTAGAAAAACATCTCGTTAATATTAGTATATTACTATTAATTATATAATTAATATAATTACTATAATTGGTAATATATTTTTAGAATTACTATGTTTAGGTTGCTATAATAGTATAATCGCTATTATTATTATTTTCTACTGCGCCTTTAAAATAATAATATGTGTATCGCATTTTATTTTATTATATTTAATTTGACAATTTTTTTATACCTATAACTAGAGGTATTACATTTAAAGTAGCACCCCCTCTACCAGCACCCCCGAGTCTTCACTGCGTTTATCATTTAATGTATACATTACATTGAAATAGTGTACGTCAAGTAGCGACCGCCGCCACCACACTTGACTATTCCTTGAACGATTTGTAACAATCTCTATTAAGACAATTGGGTGTGAGGTGCGCACAATGTTTGAAACCCAATGAAAACTAACCTAAGTCAGGGAAGGGGGATTTCCTCAACATGTCGTAATGAGCGACGGGGTAATGAAACTTAACTTGAAACCAACCGCCATATTATAATCCCACATTACCGTCAACATTTTACGAAAAATAATTGCTGTCTGCGTTTTATCAAAGTTATCTTTTTCTAAGAATTTTTATCATTCCCTACCAGACACTTAGGTAAGCATATTTCAAACATCAAAGGTACCGCCATATTATAACACACATTACCGTCTACATTTTATAAAAACAAAGACAACGTCTGTCGTTATGGCATTATAATTTCTAAGAATTTTATCATGGGTAACCAGACGCTTAGGTAAGCATATTTAAAATATCAAAGATTTCGCCGTACAGTAATAATCACTGTTGTATGCATTTATTTTTTACATAGTATTTTATCGTTGGTAACCAGACGCTTACGTCAGCATATTCCAGAGATCAAATGTATTACTATATTATAACGTTCNGAGGTCGCCGCATAGTAATGATTATTGTCGTGTGAATCTTATCATCGGATGCCAGACGCTTAGGTAAGCATATTTCCAAAGATGTTACAATATATTAATGGTCACTAT